CAAAAGCCCAAATAAGTCGAATGGCTTGGATTTCTTTTCATGTTGAAATATTAAATCTTGAGTCATGACCTTAAAAATCTTTGTGTTTCAGCAGATTACATTTTTCTCTGTGGTGACAGGGTGTATTTGCAGTTCCGTTCCAGTTTTTAAGGTGTTCCCATTCCTGCCCAGGCTGGACCTCCCAGTAGGTTTCTGTAGCCCTTACATGACTTCATCTGCTAACCAGCACCTGCTCCATCTGGGGTGACTGCCTAAGGGGCACCTAGGTTTGTAACTTTGGTTTGCACATGTTTACTTTTTTCTTTGGAGTGTTACTTGAAAACATCACTTGTAAGTGCTGGAGGCACTACATCAATCCTAGAGATGAACTGAGCTCTGCAATAGAATGCAGTGTAATTATTAAACTCTGAGAATAATGGAAGTCACAAGAAGTTTTGTACATAAGGGGAAAGTAGGGTACGTAATAAAGAGCTAACTAGGTAGAGTGGAGTGAAGGTCTTCCATTGTGATCTCTCCATCTTTTTTTCCCCTTCCAGTACTTCTTGATAGGCTGCTGCAACTTTGTAAATGATGTTAGATAGTTTGCTGCTTGTAAATAATTAAAGGCTTTATGGTTTCTAAAGTGCTAAGTATTAAACACCGTCATGAGTGTAACTTTTGTTACCATGCTTTTCATGCTTGTGCTTTATTTCTCACTGTTTGATATTATATACCATATTTATTTTATGAAAGCACTGAAATTTAATAAAAATCATTAACTGATTTCCTTTTTATTTCATGTGTACCTTTTGTTGTTGTGATGCTTCATCCCGTCAAAGAACTAATATGCTTTAAAGATGTGCTATTCTGTTCAGTTGTGCTCCTAGAAAGCTTCATCTGTCAGCAGCTGTAATATCTTTGACTAGAGCTTAACTCTCCTGACTTTGGTTGAAATGTGCTAGAATTTGACCAGCAGGCTTTCAGAAAATTGGGAAGTGATTTAACAGTTGTCTAAAGGATTTATTTTATCAATCTTCAGACTCCTGAATCTGGCTGGTGAGTTTTCTGGGATCTGAGTGCTCAGACAGTGGCAGAAGCATCAATAGAATGTTTTCTGCTGAACTGCTGGGTGTTAGCTTGCTTGTGATGTGTAAGGACAAACCACCTCTGGAATTTAAATATAAATTGACTGTTGAGGCCTCATAATGCACCTCTATTGGCAACACAAAAACATTTAAATCTCAAAGCTGCAGACTTTTCCAACTTAGAAATATTTTTGACTGATAGATTTGTTGTGCAAAATAGTCCTTGTTTGTAGAGATTGGTTGTTTTTTTTTAATGTCTCTTTTCAACATTATTTTTAGTTTTCCGTATTATTTCCTACAGGCTGAAATCTTGCTGCTCGCAGGAAGGAGTGGACTGAAAGGTTCAGTACCATTAATGTACTGCCTGGCTGTTGAGCTCAGCCTTCCCCAGGGCTGCCTGCAGCTGTTCCTGTTGTGCCACATGGAGGCATTGGCTCTGGTGGTGCCCGATGGCAATGGGCTGCAGGTTGTGTGCTGCACTGCTGCACTCAGCTATTAGCACACAGGGCAGCATTGGTGTGGGTCTCCCTTTTGACCTCTCTCGATTTCTTACTCGTTTCTTAATAAATACAAGAATGTACATCTTTAAAGTGCTTTTAAGTGCAGTTTCTGAAGCTTTCATACATCACTACGTTGTGTGTTTGCCCATAATGTTTTGCTTTTGTAGTTAATGTGTCTTTGTCTCATTTTCATCATGCTGTGTGGTTCAGGTAAGAAGTAGCCGAGTTTGAACACATTGAGGCATTCTGAAAACCTGAGTGCAGCTCAGAGCTGTGTGTTGGACTTGTGGGAGGGCTGAGAGCACAAAACCACGCGACTTTGCTACATGGGAGAGGTAGCAGTGTGCAAACAGGCCTCTTCTGGGAGCTGTCACTGTGACAAGTGATTTGGGAACAGAGGAAAGGTAGAGAGACATGAATGAGTTCTCGAGACCCTGAATTTTCCTTTGGTTTTGGTCGTTTTCCCCACAAGTCTTCGAAGTTGATACAGCAGTGTCAACACTCAGTTATGTCTTCACTCTGAAGTTGGTGCCATTGGGATCCTGTACCCATCCTGCTTCGTGCCAGCAGCACCTCCCCTGGGTTACCATCTTTCCAGCTGTAAAGTGCTATAGTGAAAACTGCTATATAAGGTCCTTCAGGACAGCTTGAAGTAGTTTGAGGTGTGTGGCTGTCCAGTTGACCTCTGTAGTTGTTATGCATTTATTACAGCATCCCTAAATTTTCTGTGGATGGCAGTTCTGATCACAGCTTCAGTTGCTCTGCGCTCACAGCAACCAAGGAGTACGGATGTGACAAAGCCCAGAAGAGGTCTCAGAACCTTGGGGAAGAATGGGACTCTGCTTTGGTGGACTGCAAGAAGAGCTGAACGAAATGTGAGTACCTCAGGTGTGCCATAGCTCAGTGTTTGTGATGAAGTCCAGGTCACCATGCAGACACTGGGCTGTGACTCACAGAGTATGGAAAAAAAAAGTAGAAAATAATGGTTATGGTTTGACTGCGTTACTGATACCAGATAACTGTGCAAGTGGAATCTCTCAGTTGTGGTTCTGAGCTTCCTGTTTGCAGGTGTGTTTGGGCACACAAGGAGTGCTTTCACCCTTCTGTTCCAGGCAGTTTAAAGAGGAGAGCTGATGGTGTGAAGGAGTAACAAATGCATGTATGTGTCTTCTGTTCTGTTGTACATAGTCATCTGCAGGCCATAGCATGAAGGCATCCAAAGAAGTGGTGCTTTTGGAGCTGTGCTCTCCATATGAAGGAAATGGAGTGTCCCTCCTGGATGAAGGTCAAATGAACTGAAAGGATTTCTTACTTAAATGCTGCTCTTTCAGTTCATGCATCATTCCGAATGTTACCGTCAGTTATTCAGAGTGCAGACAGAAATGACTCAAAGTTTGAATAGAATCAGTGGCAAAAATGAGCGATGCCAGTAATAGATGCCATGCCATGGTGAACCCAGGGGCTGTGCCTGCCTTCCTCTGTGCTGCCTGCCTTGTGCAATGCCTGTGAGCAAAGCAAGCGCACGTTCCTGCTGCCAGAGTGCAGGAGGGATTTATTTAACTATTCAACTATTAACTAATATTCAGTATTAACTATTTATTTAACTATTTAAACTGAATTTGCAGCACAGCCCCAGGAGCAGTGCAGTGATGGGGAGCAGTCTGCCCTGAGCCCTCACTGAGCACCAGCGTTAGCAGGGGCTGTGTAACGCAGCGCGAAGCTGTCGTGGAAAACAAAGCAATTTCTCCAGCCTTACTGGAAGCTGACAGAAGCTCCGTGCTCCCCCTCAGAGCCCACCCCAGGACACTGCAGCCACCAGGCAGACAGCAGTCTCTGTTGTTGCTGCATGCAGCTGTTTTATTTCGATTTCTCTTTACAGAAATGTGAAACATCTTCACGGGAATCGTACAAAAACATCTCCAGTTGGCTGTCTATAGTGAACCCCAAGAATACATGTCCCAAAATGAGGCCCTGGAGAGGGAAGGATGCATTTTCTGTTGGCTGTGGCTGATGGAGCCCACACAGAGCTGACCTGGAGAGCAGTTCCCCCTTAGGAAGTAAAAAGGCCGTGTTCAGATAGAGGGGTAAAAATGGGGATGGGTGTGTGAATACTCAGTAGTGCTGCCACGTGTGATGTGGTGTGAGGATGTGGTCCCTGTTCAGAGGATGGAGCTGTTAGTGCCATAGACCACAGTGCCAGTAAACCTGGAACTGTTGCAGCCCCCTCCCGTGTGTCTGCGTTCCCTGGGGCCTTTCAGCTCTGCATACTTTATAGAAAAACAGGCTCCTAAGGGCGTTTTGTTGCTCTGGGAGCCACAGCGCTGTGTTCTCACCCGTAAGGGGGAGCTGTGGGGGAAGAGGAAGCGTCCCTGGGCCAGCAGTGCCATCTGTGTGCATCCCCTCTGGGACTGGGGAGTGCTGCTTCCCCAATGGGCAAAGTGCTGAGCTTTGAGCCAGCTGTGAGCCACAGCTGTGCCACTCACTGCTGGTGGTGAAACCATTGGATTTCATTGGAAAAACTGGGGGACAAAATAAAAACAAATGACAGGGACCTGGAGCTGTTGGGGTGGAGCAGTCGTGCAGCACCTCCCTCCTCCTCTGCTCCTGCATGGCCTCAGTGCAGCACCCACTGCTCTGAGCCCTGGGTGAGCAGCAGCAGCTCCTGTTGATGCAGCAGTGGTGCCACAACCATTACAAAAATAAAATATTCTCATCTTTACATTTGTGTTGTAACCGAGTCTGAGGATTTAGAAAAATTTAACACTTGTTCTTAGGCTTGCATTGACCACGGGTAAATATCTACAGTATATTTCTTTTCTTTAAACATCCCATTAGAATGTCAGCTATAAATTTACACCATAGAAATAATGTCTGGAAAAAAAAAAAAAAAAGTGTATGATTTATACATGTGTAGCTTTTTTCTTCTTAAATTCACATCTTTGTACATTAAACAAACAGAAGTGGAGTTGGAATGCAGTGAGGGTGAGGGATGCTCTTGCAGTGCCTGGGGTGCTGTGGGGTGGGGAGCTGCCCTCAGGCACACAGAGCAGCCAACTGCAGGGAGAGAGATGAAAATGTTCCCTTCTGAATGGTCAGCATGGGGTAACTGGAATATCCCAAGCTTGAAGGGGCCCATAAGGGTCACAGAATCCAAAGCCGTGACCTCAGCCCCCCACATTGGGTTGGGATGTGGTGCTGCTGTGTTTCCCCCTCCCTTAAAGGTTAATGGGATGGAAAACCTTCAGCTCTGGGCTTGGTTGTGTGCACTGACAGCAGAGGGACGGAGCGCTGTGGGGTCAGCCGTGGCTCAACCCCATTGCCTTTGTGCTTCAGCTGCTCTCACCGTTTATCCTATGGGAACTACTTAATTTTTTTGGCACAACAACTTACAAGCAGAAATAAATAAAACATAGAACTGCTGCAGCCAGTGAGTTTAAAAAAAAAAAAAAAAAAAAGCATCGTTAAAAGCGAAACAAATAACATCAAACAGCATCAGTGATGGTTTGGTTGTGCCCACAGCGCAGTGCAGCGCAGGGCTCGGGTGGGGGTTGGGTATTTCCACCTGCACTGCCCACTGAGTGCCAGATGGCAATGCTGGGCTGCAAAGCAGCAGAAACCATGGGCATTAGAAGCAAGGCCAGCCCAGGCCCCGTCCAATCATCAGCCCATAGAGCTTTGGCTGGGTAGGTTTTCCTCCCTTTTCAGGCAGCACAGAGCTCAGCGCCTTCGTGGGGTGCCGTAATTTTCAGCAGGTTTTTGTAAACAACATTTATTGTGTGTCGTGGGGAAGGGGCAGTGGATGGGAATGGCAGAACCCCTTCCTGGCAGCGGCGCTGGGAGGGCATTGGCTGTGTTGTGCTTTACAGGCTTCTTGTTAAAAAAAAAAAAAAAAAATCACATTGAAGTTTTAGTATATGAATGTAAAAGTATATAAAGTTAACAACTCGGTTATTCACTTGGCAGTCAAAGAAAAAAAAAAAACAACAAAAAAAACCTTTACACGTCGACATTGCAAAGTGTGCAAAAATAGATGGAAAATACATCTCGTGTTTCTGCTATAGAAAGGTCTCCACTGCCGTTGTGCTGAAAGCAGCCAGGGGTCGAGTTGGGCTGCCAATGCACATCATCTGCAGCACGGGGCCTTGGCCAGGCCAGCACCACATGGAGCCAGCGGGACACGTCCCCGTCCTGGTGCCTTTGCTGCTGAGCCCCAGTGGGTGCCAGCGTCCCCAGAGCCAGGATGTGTGCAACAAGAGCAGTGCCGCACGGCTTTGGGTCACACTGTTGTCTTTTCGGTGTGTTTTGGGGTCTGCAGATGTTGCTTGGGTGCTGGAAGGGCTGCACTGTCCTCTTCTTCCTCACTGTCTCCACGCAGCCCCCAGGACAAGCCAAGAAGCAAGGAGAGCATTGGGGTGAAAGAGCCAAATTTGGGCTATCCATCCCGGACACCCAGCAAAGAGGAGCGGGACAAGCAGCCGCCCTTGGCTCAGCAATGTCCCCATCCAACGCGAACAGCCTGCATCATTTGGGGACAATTCTGAACACGGCCTCCTGCCCAAACGGGCCGAGTTGTAGCTCCAGTCTCACCACCAGCACCAGCAAAGACTTTCTCACTAGTTGCGGTATTGGTATAAAAAGTTAAAAACTCCCACGTGGTTCCTCTGGCCGGCCGCCTGCCCGCCTGTCCCATCGCTTTTGTCCCCGCAGCACATGGGTTGTGCTCAGAGCTGGGTCTCATCCCGTGTCTCGGGGTTGCAGGGGCCCAGCTTGTTGCTGCAGCTGCTCTTGCGGCTGTGCCCGTCGTTGGCCACGTGTGCCAGCGGGTCGGAGCGGATCAGGTACCTGCAGGGCACAGAGCGGGGCGTGGAGTGTGCCGTGTTCCTGCACCAAGTGTGGGAATCCTGGGTTTGGGGTGGGATTGGGTAGTGTGTGTGGGGAGGGGGGGGTGACACGTACACGATGTCGTTCAGCTCCAGCCGTGTGTCTGGGGGTGGGTTGATCAGGACATAGGACAAAGTGTTCTGGTGGTCATTCATCTCATCTGCCGGAGGAGAGAAGGGGGATGATGGGCAAGGCTGGGGGAGCGCCATGATGGACACCCGATGGACACCCTGATGGATGCCCCAATGGGCACTCCAATGGACACCCCAATGGGACCCCAGAGAATGCTCTGTCAGCCCCACTGCAGCAGCTCCAAGCATCAGGCTCAGTAGGGTCACAGCTGGTCCCTGAGGACAGCACCAGGTCCTTTAGCATGGCCATGCCACTGAGAGCACCCCACCTCCTCCCACAGCCCCACAGCTGCTCCCAGCCACAGCACAGGCTGGAGACTCACAGACTTTTCACTTCAAAAATCAACCCCCAAAAAGAAATAAGAAAATAGATGTCTTACCTTGTTTGAGCACAAAAAATGAAACACGTTAGTCTTGCTGCATTAAGTACAGCACAACGACCCCGAGCACCAGGTCAGGGCAGCCAAACCCCCCCAGGGCTGTGACCACGCTTTGCCACCTTCTTCCCTTGTTGCACCTATGAGCACCAAGCAGCACGTGGCCGAGGCACCATGCCCTTCTGCCCGCAGGACAGCACTGCGGCATCCCAGAGCCCCCAGCACCGCTCAGGAACAGCTCTGAATCGTGGAGCTGCGGTGACGCCAAACTGAGCACCGGGACACTCGGGGCCCTTCGCTGCCAAACAAGATCATGGGGGGAAGCAGGTGCTGGGAACAAGCAGCAGCGGGAGCACAGCGAGGGCATGTGATGGACAGGACAGGGGACAGACAGCAGGGGACAGACGGACACAGGCTTGCTGCAGGGTTGTGCACTGGGACACCAGCAGTTCATGCCCCCCCCCCGCAATGGGATGATGAGGAAACTCAGGGAGGGCCTGCACACAGACCCCTCCTCTTTCCTGCCCATCAGCTTTTTGCTGCTTACCCCCTGGTTTCTCCCCAGACCACAGGGCTGACAGCTCTCAGCCGTCCCAGTGCTCAGCCCTACAGTGCAGCGGGGATGGGGGTGGCAGTGCTGGGGTGCACACAGAGCCAGGGGTGCATGGGATGTGCCGTAACGGAGGGGGGGTTCCTGGGGCACACAGGTTCTCCTTCACCATGGAAGCACCTTTTCCTGACCCCCATGCAGCACTGCTGAACCCACCACGTGTATTGCCATCATCTTGTCCCCACTGGCACCCCCCAGTAATTTTTGGGGGAGGGGATCCAGAGCTCCTGCACCCACACTGTGGTGCTCTCACTGCAGAAGGGCACTGGTGGGGTGGCTCACAGCTGTGCCAGAACACAACCAAGAGGGGGGGGAACACCATCCCTGAGCTCTGCGCAGCCCTGGGAGTTGCTGGCAATATATTGCGTGGGGCTTCCATGAGCCACAGCTGGGCTGGGGCTCTGAGGGTGGACACGGTTTGTAGGAAAATGCCAACTTTTCACCTTAAGCATAGGCTGGCAAAGCCTGAACCACAGCCCAGCAAGGCCACAGCTGCCCCTGGGCTCTCCCGAGCCCCTCTGCATGAAGCTGCGCGCTGAGCACTGGGTGCTGAGTCCCTTCACCCTGAGCCTCTCCCCAGCGTCTGGGGGTGACTGCAGGGACACAGGGGTCTGCACCCCAAACCAACCCGGGACAAAGCTGCAAACGATGCCTTCCCGCACTGCTTTGCTCAGCAGCAGCAGACAGAAACCCCCTCCTTGAACTGCTCTGGGCTTTGCACGCCAAATTCAACCTACAGAGCAATGCAAGGAGGTCACTATCAGTAACAGCTGAGGGATGTGATTTCCTCGCACCAGTTCCAAAGGGTCCCTGCATTTTCTCTCCTGCCATCAGGGAGCCCTGCAGCTGCAGTGCAGTGCCTTTTGTTTTCCAGCTCCACCCAACAAAGGAGTGTGAAAGGATTGAGTATCTAAGGTGAAAACTGGCAAGGGTGTGGATTGGGCTCAGCTGGCATGATCTTGTTGTACGCTGCACGCCGTGAGGCACGCGTGACTCCCAGGGAGTGAGCATTACCTTGCAAATATCCCAGGTTTACCCGATTCATCACATCACTGGCTGTTAAATTTGCTACATCCTCTACAGAACATACAGGGAAAGGCACAGACATAAACAGAGAGAGAGAGAGAGGTCAGCAAGCCATGATTCGGCAAATATTAGAGACGAGCTGCTGCACTTTGGCAATAAAGGAGCAAAAGATAAAGGCAAGGAGAGCAGGCAGAGTCAGTGTCCTTCCAACCACCAAGCACACCGATGCCAGCCGTGCCCCGGTGCCCGCGCACATCCCAGCCGGAGCCCCAGAGCTGCACTGAGCAGTCCAGCTGCACCAGCATGGCGGCACCGACTGCCATCAGCAGAGTGATACAGAGCGAAGAGAGCAGCATCCCCCAGAATGAGGCAAGGAAACTTCTGGGAGAAGGGGAGCAGGGACAAAAAGCTCCATCTCAGTGCATCGCCCGCAGACAGCAGTGCCAGGTGTGCAGCTGAACCAGCAATGCTGTCCCCACCTTCCCCTCCATGGAGCGGCTGCCACGTGCCCCCAGCACTCCTGTGTGCCCTCTGTTTCCCCGCGTTTATCCGTATTTCCCCCACTCTCCCATCTGCGGGCAGCAAACCCCAGCTGGGCTCGGTGCTCGGGGCCCGGCTGCGGCAATGGAAGGGGTCTGGCATGGAATAGACAGGAGGCAGCACGGGATGGCTCACAGGGCAGAAAGACAAAACGAACCAAGAAAGCCATGTGCGAAGGACTTCACTGTAACCACGGGGCAGGTGCGGGCACACAGACTCCGGCACCAGCACGGGGCTGCGGTCCCCACCAGAAAGATTTGGGGTCAGCAGGAAGCACAGTGACACACGCAGCCATCAAACACCACCAAGCCAGCCCAGCCCCGCCAGATGCTCCTGAGATACAGCGCGGTGACAGCGTGGAGCTGCAGCACCAGCCCTGCAGAATTGCAGGGTACAATGTCAGGATTTGGATGAGTTGACCCAAAACAGAGCCAACCTGGGGCCTTGGGCAGCCTGCTTTAGTGGTTGGCAACCCTGCCCATGGCAGGAGGTTGGAACTAGATGATTTCAGAGGTCCCTTCCAACCCAACCATTCTATCACTCTACGATTCTGTGGTTCTGTGCGCTCAAGGCTGCCCACGCACCACAGGCACAACTCCTGTAGGCACAGACCCCACTGCAGCCACCCTGGGAGCAATGTGCACTGCGCCGCTGTGCAGCATCCACAGATGGGTCCAGCAGCACCTGCAGGGCTCGGGGGCAATGGATGGGGATTTACCTGCGGAGCCCACGGGGCCGCCTCGCCGCAGGGAAGCACGACCGCACATCACTTACCATACCCGGTGGTTGGCAAGCCCAGGTGCTTCATGCGGTTCTTGACGAGCTCGGACAGCTCCTGCCGCTCGGAGCGGCGGTACAGGCTGAGCCGCTGCTGGCTGATCCACTCGGCTGTCTTGCCGGAGTGCTTGTTGCCCTTCCTGCTCAGCCGACGTGCCCACTGCATGCTCTTGCGCCGCAGCAGCGGGTGCTCGGACTGGTCACTGGAGCACGAGTTCCTGTGGTGGCCCGTCTTGATGCCCCAGTGCTCCTTCACATCCTTCGTATCCTCGCAGTCCTCCACGTTGATGGAGATCTGTGACTGGAAGCCCGGCCGGTGACGGGGACCGCGGGGCCACCTAACGGGAGTTGCTCTGGGACGGGGTCCCATCTCTCAGCCGTGCACTGCCAGCACAGCGCCACCGTGCTGCTAAAGCACCTGGGCAGCAGCCCTGGGATGGGGGCTCCGGAATGCCAGCAGCCATGGGGTGCAGCAGGCACCACATCTCCATCAGCTCTATTCCTTCCTGCCCTCACCTTCCTCACTGAGGCATCGCAGCAGACCTGCTGCACCTCTGCTATAGGGACCGCTGGTAAGCACTGATTTATTAATAAAGGATAAAAGCACCTCTAAGGATGAATGGGGATTGCATCGAGCTAAATGTCAGCTTTCAGCACCCTGCAGCTACCTCCACAAAGCTGAAAACCGAAGATATTCACAGCAGAGCCTGGATCCTGCTCCCTCTCCCAGTAATTACACCTTTTGGCTGTTTGCTGGTGCTGTGGGGGACATCTCGCCTGAGGAAAACCATCCCCGACACCACCCACATGTGCACTGCAGGGGCTGGCAGCAGAACCGATAATCCCGGGTCTGGGTGCAAGCAGTACTCACCTGTGCTCTGATGTCATGGGGCTGCATTTGGAGGAAGAAAAGGGGGAAAAAGCGTCAGCCAGGAAATGAGCATCCCTGCTGTGCAGCATCCCCCAGTAATTCAACAACCGCTCAGTGCTGCATCGCCTGCCAGCACTGCTCGTTGAGGCTGAGCATCTGCACTGTGCTCACACAAAGACAGGAGCCCCCCGGGTGTGGGTGAGGAGGGGAATGCTGCTGCCCTTCCCACATGTGCTGCCCCTTGCCTCGGAGGTGGCGAACATGTGCGACTCCGTCCGATAAATGCCGATGGGGATCTCAGCACTGGAGGAGCAGAGCTTCTGGAAGAGGCGCCCGTAGGTCCGGATCCACAGGTCGTCCTCTGTGATCTTCATCTGGGGATGAACAACAACTGCCTTCAGAACCAGAACAGTGCCCAAATGTATCAATGCTAACCCCAGAGCAAGGCCAGCACCACAAACAGACCAGGAGCAGGACACGTGGGTGTAGCACCGAGGGATACGGCTGAGTGGTGGACGTGGCAGCATTGGCCAAGACTTGGACTTGATGACCTTAAGGGTCTTTTCCAACCAAAAAGACTCAGTGATTTTATAACATTAGGGCTCTTGGCAGCGCTGAGGTTGCCCATGTATGATACAAAGAGCAATGTTCTCCCCCATTCTGTTCCATTTTGCCTCTGTCAGAGGAGCCTCACATCCCGCAGCCCCCATGCACATGCCCTGCAGCAGCACCTACCGCACAGAGGTAGCCAGAGCCCGGCGTGGTGTCCAGGCCCAGCAGCAGCCGGGTGATGGTGATCATGTAGTCCTTCACAAACGACTGCAGGAGGGGAGGAAATGTCAACCCTGGTATGTGCCAGCAGGCAGCCGTGCCCCCAGTGCCTCCCCCACCTGGTAGAGCAGCGTGTCCAGCATGCTGATGCTGAAGACCCTCCCTGCAGCGAAGGGCAGGCGGAACATGAAGGCCAGGTTGGAGCCATTCTCACGCTCTTTCTGGAAGAGGAAAGACAATCCACGTGGTCTTGAAGGCTCACCTGAGCGGGAGGACAGCAGCAGAGCATCTCTGGTGGGAGTGCCAGGAGGAAGGCAGGGAAAGAGGGTTTTGTGGTGAAAGAAGTATTTTTTTTTTCTCCATGGAAACGTATGAGACATCATGGCTTTATTTTGCTACGGGCTGGATGTGGTGCTTCCACGTGCCTCACTGCCCTGGGGATGTTTGCTCTTTTCAGGAGACCTCAGCACAGTGACCCCGCCGCAGGCACAGCGCTGAGCCCAACAGTTCTCTCCTCAGAGCATCCCTGCACACGTTCACTCACTGCCCCGCTCCCAACACAGCAGCAGGCAAAGCAGCACAACCTCCAGCCGCCAAGAAACACACAAACATGTAGGAAGAGGCAGACAGCCCCAAAATCACCCACCCACACATTTGTTTGCTACAGGTTATGTTGGATGGATGCACAGTACAGCATGTGGAGGAGCACAGGACTGCAACAAACTCGGGATTAGTGACTCCCAGCGCTGAATTCCCAAAAAGCAAAGCTTTCACTTACCTTCTCTAGCTTGGAAAGGGCTAAGGAATAGCTGTCCTTTGCTCTGAACTGCATGAACCTCATGTTGGAAGGATGGGTCAGCTCTGTGATGATGCTGAGGCTGGGAAAGAGCCTGCAGTGGGAAGAGACATGTTGTTCAGCAGCCACCTTGGAAGGGAGAGATCCCTGCATTTAAAGCTTGAGGAACACAAAAGGCTCCCCCGTGCCCACCCCAGAATTAGTGGAACCTGGGTGTCATCCTAGCAGCACACAGCACCTATGGGCTCTTGGGCTCACTTCCTGCTGAGGCAGCACCCAGAGGAGGGATGGGATGGAATAGGATGGGAGGGAATAGGAGAGATGGGGACAGGATGAGTGAGATGATGATGGGACATGACTGCTGGCCCTCTTCACCTGAACATGGTCTGGACGTTGACAATCGTCTTTGCATCCGCCATGTAGTCCTCCTCAGCACTCATGGTGCTCTCCTTGTCCACAACCACCAGGTTGTCAGCATAGATGATGCCACACTGCAGCAGGCTGTCCAGGCTGGGCAGTTCCCAAAGAGAAGAGCGCAGGGGTCAGCCCTTGGAAACGACATGGGGAAGCAGCACACTGCGATGCACAGCGCTGCAGCCAGCCCAGCTGCTCCTAGCCACCAGCCCAGCACCAACACCCGTCTCCCAGATGGGCTCAACAAGGTGAGAAGCCAACAGTGGGGGCTGCCACGGCCAGCCCTTGTCTCCCCATGGAATGGGAAGGTATGGGGTTGGAGATTGGGGTGAATGCAACATGTCTAAGATAATCCTATAATTAACAACAGCCACAGACCAGAACACCTACTTGTCAATGGTGCCTTCCATGTAGTAAACCATGGGGAAACAACAGATGGCTTCCAGAAAGTGGTGCTCTGGTCTGCAAGAAGAGCAACAGAAAGCAACAGGGTTCAGAAACCCACCAAACAAGGTGATGTGCAGCCCAAGACAGTCGTGCTCCTGCCCCATGCTGTATGCAATGCCCATGCTAACACAGGGAAGGGCTTGGTGCGAGAGAAACTACTGCAGAGAAGTACTTGCTTGTTGTCCAGAAGCAGCACAATTGGGTTCAACTCTTTGCGAGACCGATAGTAGGCACGCAGCGGGACGATGAAGTTATACAGCCCATTGCCAGCGGTCTCTGCCGACACGATGATCAACTTGTTCTTAAAGCCATAGGCCTTGGCGTCTTCAAAGCTATTGTGCTTGCAGCCCTGTGGGAGGGAGGCAGCTGGGACCCGTGGCAGTGCCCAGCCCCCTCTGGCACAGCCCTGGGCAGCGCAGTGCTCACCTTGTCCAGCCGCAGGCAGCAGAATGGGGCTTTCTCAGGCAGGAGGTGGCATAGGGTTGGCGAGCTGCCGATGTATGGGGAGTTGGGTGGGTAGCCCTTCACGTACCTGCAGCAGAGGGAAATCCCAGCACTGTAATGACGTGGAGAGAGCCATCTGCAACGGCCCCATCACCTGCAAAGAGCTGTGCCTCTGCAGCGACCGAACGCGTGCGACTCACTCCACCACTGCTGAGCCCTCCTCATCTGACTGTGTCATCTCATCCTCCGACTGGTCGCTGAGCAGGTCGCAGGGCAGCAGGGATGAGGTGTCAGCCAGCTCGAGCACAGGTGCGATGCTGGGCCGGCGGTTGCCCGAGCCGTTCTCTGCTGGCAGCGCCAGCTTGCTGCTGTTGGTGGGGCGGCACTCAGTGTTCTGCAGGTCCATGGCCACTGTACCTGGACGCAGTGGGGGGAAGCACAGCGCTCTATAAGGAGGAGAAGGGAGCAAGGCTGGCAGAGTATGGCACCACTGAGCCCCGCTGGGACCCCATCCACCACCAGCACCTTCTAAAATCCAAACATATTTACAGAGTGTTGACTGAGGCCATCGAGTCTTTGCTCCCACTTGGAAACCCAAGCTGAAGCTCTCATCTGAATCTTCACCCATTATTTTTGGCTATGAAAGACATGAGTTCCCCAGTGAGCAAAGCACGGGAGCTGGGCACATTCCTGCAGCTGTGGATCTGCACCTGCTGAACCTTCTCACACCATTTCACTTCTTGTTCCACTTTTTGCAAAAAGTCCCTCTGTGAGCAAGCCACGTAACAAGAACATTCATGAGCTCTACTCAGCAAAGTGTTCTGTGGCTTGCTGTGGGATAATCATGCAAATGGCTGTTCATGAGTATATATGCATAAATTATTTGCCTAAAATACAATCTGCCATCGCAGCGCAGCCTCTCCAAACAACCCCAGAACTTGGTCTCCCCAGATGCAAGCTGGAAGTAATGACTCATGGCATTTTTCATTTGAGAAAATGCACCGCTCGCTGCAGAGCAAATCATGCCATTCATCAGGTTGGGAATCATAAAAATGATTTAAGATGCAGCCAACAGCATTTATCCTTCCAGGCATGGCTTGAGGGATTTCTGCAGACAAATATCATAAATGATAACGGACATCACAAGCTCTAATGATGGCGTCTGGGCTTTCTGGGAGCAGCTAGGATGCCAGGAGCAGGGATGTGGGTGCGATCTGTGGACTCACCCATGCTGGCAATGATGCTGTGCACGGGCAGGCGGGAAGGGCCATCATAGGTGCCTCTGCCTGCAAAGCCCTTCTTCTTCTGCTTCTCCTCCTGCTTGAAGATAAAGGCAGAGTTCTCCTCCTTGGTGATGTTGATGTAGAAGCAGGTGTCAGACGCAGCCATGATGTGCCGTGGGCCGGGGTTCAGCAGGATGCTCTTGTTCTCTTCCCTGCGGATGCCGATCAGGCAGACGCCGTACCTGTGATGGGATCACCATGCAGGCATTGGAGCAAAACCTCCTCCCTGCATGAGGCACTCCGAGTGCTGGCCCCAGCCCTGCACCCCTGCCCTTACTTCTTGTGTGCGTGGAAGGCGGCGTAGGTGAAGCTTTTCCCCTCGTACTCCATGAAGAACTTGCTGTCACCCATGCGGATGTGGTAGACCTCATTGCCCGAGCAGCGCCCGTACATCCTCTGCCACTGCTCCGGGGACTCCTGGCCTTCCCTGCAATGACAGCAGTGTGCAGGGATGGAGCTGCAGCCAGCAGGGCCCCAAGGAACCCTCAGGGTGCTGCGAGAAGAGCTGTCGGTGCAGCAGGTGGGGGCTGAGCTCCTTCTGATTTCTGATTCTAATTGCATTTGTATTTAATGAAGGCTCCCGATGGAGCTGCAGAGGCAGGGTTGAGAGCCAGTGTTGGCAAACAGCTGAAAGCATGTGGTGAGACACGCTCCGGAATAGAGTTCTGTAACCCTCTGATGTCATGTCACCCAAAATTCAGTAATTTCTGGCTCCATCAAGATGTAAAGGGCCCATGTCAGCACCACACTGAGCTGCTTCCCGCTGTGCTCTATGTAAACCCACAGAACACCCCGCAGGCTCTGGCTCTGCAGTCTGTGCATTCTGCTTCCTGCCAGCAGGATCTGTCTGATACAAATGAGGAGTTGTACTGCTGCCCTCCAGCAAACCCACCCAGGGATGCTGCAGTGCCCCAGCACCACCCAGCCCTGCTTGGCAGGAGAGAACCCAGGGCTGTAATAGGGGATGGGCTTTCCACGGGGCAGAATCCCCAGGGGAATGGCTGTGCCCCCCCAGCACTCACTGCCCACGGGAGGTGTGCACCAGCAGCGTGATGAGTGTGGAGGTGGCGGGGCAGACACAGTTGAGCGCCAGCATGGCGTACTTGCACTCCTCCTCACAGACGACGTGATCTGCAAGGAAACAAAGCTGCTGCTGGGGTGCCTCACACCTCTGCTCACGTTGCCAGGGGTGTTTTGGGGTGGCCAACCCAAGCAGCACTCAACACAGATCACCAGCAGTACTGGCCCTAGAGATGAGACAGAGACTCATTCCAACCTCACAGGGCCAAAAGCACCCCTTGCTGGGTCTGAGGATGCAGGAGTCTTGCAGGGAGCACCAGACCTTGGGGAGGGGGCCAGCCCTGGGGACTCACCAGCAAACTTGACATGAAACTTGTTCTCCGGCTTTAGGATCTGCACATAGAGAGGGCAGTTTGGGGCAAAATCTTTCACGGCCCAGGCTCTCAGGATGGTTTGGTGGTCCTAATAAAAGAGGAAAGCATGCACAATCTTCTGAGAGATCATTTCCTCCAACGCTTCCATGCCTGGGATGAGCTGCTCACCGCCGCCGTGCGGTCCACCTCATTCCGACTGCTGAGAATGAAGCAGGCTTCCCCATTGTCCATCCTGCAAGCAGAGAGCAGAGTCCATGCAGCACTCAGCCCACAGAGGGGACAGGATGGCCATTGTCACCCATTCAGTGACAGCAGTGGGGACACATGCAGCACAATGGGGTGGCTGCAGGAAGATCCTTCCCATGGCCGCCTGCCACTCCCACCCCAAAGCTCACTTGGCTCTCATGAGGTCCTGGTCCTTCAGCGCAGAGCCCTGCAGGTAGATCACCCGCTGTGACCACAGAGGGATCTGCAGCACCCGCCGCACCTGGATGTCCATCTCTGTGGGGCAGAGGATCACCACGTAGTAGTCCTGGAAGAGAGAGGCTCGTGTCACTCGGCAGGCAGGCAGCCCCATGGGCATCCTTATGGGTAGAGAAATCCATCGAGGTTCTTGCCACATCCTGGACATAAAAATGGGGTGGATCAAGCAGGTAGTGTAACCCAGCCATGCCCAGCAAAGACAAGCATTGAAGGACAAGCGTTGAGGAAGGAGCACACATGGGCATGCAGCCAGCCCTCACCTGCAGGCGTGGGTGGGCGTAGAACTCATTGAGGAAGTCCATGAGGAGGTCAATCTTGAGTGAGCTGACACACAGCACGACGTGCTTCTCCGTCTGGGCGCGGTGCCGGCTGTAGTTGCCCCCTGACTTCTGCCGCTCCATCCACAAGTAGACGAGTTCCTCAAACTGCAAGCAGAGGGCACAGCTGGTGTCCCAGCACCATGGAATGCCCTCAGTGCCCCCACTGGGTGGCTGACAGTGCCAGGGACAGGGGGACAACACCGTGCCCAGTGCAGGCTCTGCACCCTTCCATGGCCATGATCTCACCTGCAGCGGCAGCACAACCAGCGCGACGCAGATCATGATGACGACAAGGAGCTGGGAAGGCCAGATCTTGGGTGTCACATCCCCATAGCCCACAGTGGAAAAGGTGACGATGCAAAAGTAGAAGGATTTGAAGAGGGAGAGCTTCTCTCCAGCTCTCTCCAAATGCTGGATGCCGCAGGTGCTGCAGGGAGAAGCAAGGGGCCATGAGCTGTCATGGCTCCAAAGCCATCGTGCCAAGTGTCAAAGAAACGCATCTATAGCTGCAGCAGGCAGGAGGCATTGGGGTGAGGAGCCCTTCAGAGTCCAGAAATTGCATTCACCACTCATCTGAGAAGATTGCCTTTGTTGTCAAAGGCTCACGGGCCCAAAAGCTTAATTTCCTGTCTTCCTGGTGATTTAATTAGTATTATTTACTCCAAATTCAGACCAGTGAGGAAAATTGATTCAGAGCTCAGTGCAAAGCCAGAACCAGGGCTGCAGTATGGAAGATGCTGGTTTCAAAGCAAAGGGTGAAGGGCCTGGTTAATTAACAGGGTCCCACGGAGCTCTAAAACCAGCTGTTGGGATGCACAGTGCAGGGAGGTGATTGGGTGGCACGAGGTGCAACACTCACCCAGTGAAGACGAGACACAGGAGGGTGCAGATGAGGATGAGCACCTGGTTGAACATGGCAGACTGGGTCCTCTGGATGGCACGGTGCAGGTCATTCTGGGGGAGGACAAAGGTGTGGTGAGGGAGGCTGTGCCCAACCCACAGCCCAGTCAAGCTTCAGCCCTGCAGGTTCCATCCCAGTGCCTGACGTGCTGCTGGCAATCTGCTCCCTGGGGGTGGGACAGTGCTCTCTGCCAGGGCTCAGGCACAATTTGTTGCTGGAGCAGAGAAGATGGGATGCCCTTAGGGATGCATCTGGTCACTTACTATCATGTTCTCCAAGGCATACTTGGCGAGCCAGCAGTTCAGAAAGACAGGGATGAACAAATTCCGCAGAGGAGGCCAAAATATCTACAAAAGGAAGGGTTACTCACGAGTTGACTGGTAAAGGACTTAGAAAAATCAGGGTTCTTTACCAAAAACAAAATCAGCTCTAGGTACTACTTAGCCATATATCTGGTGGTTTTCCTTATTTCACCACCAAAACTGCAGCACAGTATTAAATTTAAAGCTGCTTTAAAATGCAATTGGGGAACACGTACTGTGATAATGAAGGGCACTGTATTGATCATCTCAAGGATGAAAGAAATGCGGAAAATCTGCTCCCAGATGTTCCCCTGAAAAATTAACAGTAAGAATAATTAATTAAAATGCTTGAAAGTGTGCCAAAGGCCTATTACATGCTCCCAGTGCCCCAGCCCTGCTACACGGGGAAGGATGCAGCACAGACAGAGAGATGCTGTGCTTTTCTGATGGGCTGAGATGTGGTGCTGGCAACAAAACTTCCCAAATCATTCCTCCCCAAGCACCTCAATCAGTGGGGGGTGGTGAAATTGGGGACAGCAATACCCAGTGCAAGGACTGAGGGTAGCAATAGGCACAGACCTCTGTTCTGCCCCTGGGGCACGGGGCAGGGGAGCGCACCTTGTAGCTGAGATAGATGAGCAGCATGGTCTCCAGAAAGCTGATCAGGGCGATGCTGACCTGTGGGCACAAATGGGGAGAGCTGCTCAGGGCTCTGCACCAGCACCTGTGGCTTTTGTGCTCTGAAACATCAATTGGATTCCCTGCACCTGTCTGAAGCAGGCTTGTGGCTGCCCCAGGTGCTGCTGCTCAGCCCCACACAGCCCAGTGCTCACCTGGACAGCCCACAGAGGCAGCTTCCTGTCCACCCAGAAGATGTGTGACCTGCAAAGAACATCCCATGAGGATCCAAACGACAGCAGTTCTTTTCCTTCTGCTGACCACCAGCCTGAGTCCACCTCTGATGTCCCCTCCATGGCAGAGTTGCTTCTGGAATTGCCCCATGCAAAGCCTGAAACTGGCTCTGACCATCCTCAGTGCTCACAGAGGTGGATGGGAGCCCCACAGAACAAAGGCTGTGGCTGGGAAGGTCTCTTTTTGGCTCATCCCACATCTCAAGGGACAGTGATGGGACGACTGTAGTTCTCAAACCATGCACAAGTGGGGCAAGTGGATGCACATCCCCATAAACACTGGCAGGATACCAGCCCAGCTCCCATCCCACCCAGCAGTTCCAGTTCACCACTGAATGCTCTGTGCCCATCACCCCCTCCCCGCCACCAGGTCAGAGCTGGGCCCCACACTAAGAGCTCCCACTGCTCACCAGTTGATCTTGGTGGACTGATTGAAGAGGGTGTAGTTCTGCTTCTCGCATTCCCAGCTGGGCAAAAGACACAGAAAGTCCGGGGAAGAGCAGTCAGCAGGACAGCAGAGGGACAGAGGGATGGATGGGGGGTGTGGGTTTGGCTCTCCAGCACATGGGACACTCTCTCATCTGTCCTGGCATTAGGAGTGGCCCTAGCACAAAGTCCCATGGGTTTGGACTCGCTGGTCCCCTCATCCCTGTGCTTTCTGGAGGACCTTAACCCCCTACCAGCAGCTCACACTCAGCTGGTTGGGAAACATTTTGGAGCAATGCATCTGGAACCTTTACAAAGAGAAAATTCAGCTGGTAATTCTCACAGAGTGCCCTAACTCTTTGAAAAAAAAAAAAAAATCTGTGCGTGACATAAACAAAGCAAGGACACAATAAAAATAGGTTTATACCAAAACCCAGAGCAAAGCTGCTGTGTGTGATTATCTGTCACCCCAGGGATCTAAATGGCAAAGTGTGTTTCCCTCCCAAAAACACTTCAATAGGATTTAGCAGAAGTGTCTTCAAGGACACTGAGACAGCATTTAGTGGGCGCTGTGCTGAACTCAGGGGTCACACCTGGCCATGCAGCCCATGTGGGATGTGGCCCTGCAGCCTTTGGGAGCTCACCCACAGCCCTTAGGATGGCACTCCTTCAGATGTCCCCATCGCCTCTCTCACAAATTAGAGATACATTTAATGATGACCACAGCCCTGAACTTTTCCACTGCCATTCCCCATTGCACAAAGTCCGTGAGCAGTGACAGTTATTGCTAAACCACCTGTTGGTGTAGGGAAGGAGAAGCTGGAGTGACAAAAACCTCCCACTGTGCTGTGAAGGTGTTTGAGTACCCACAGTGTGAGTGCCCCACGCTGCCTGGGCTCTGGGGGCTGCGGTGGCACCGTGGCAGGGTGGCACTCACCATCCTATGCCCTCCTCCGGGTTGTCGAGCAGCACGCGCACGATGTAAAGCAGGCAGGTGAGCAGCTTCAGGGAGAAGTTGAACAGTCGGATCCTCAGACCTGCAGTGGAGGCGACGCAGCACGGGCATGGTCCCATGGGTACAGAGGAGAAGGGACACGTCCGTGGGGTTCTGCATGGGGCACCCCCTGCACAGCCAGCCCCAGAGCACCTACACTTCACCCAGGGCTCTGTGCCCCCCCACCCCGAGCAGCACCAGTAAAGCTCTATCTTGGCAGCCAGCAGCGGGGGCTGAGCAGGGGGGGCTGCCTCCTCCCCAGCATTGCATTATTACTCAGATTACAAGAGAGGAATTAATCACATTTCCATTAAAAACTTCCTGAGGGCACCCCGCCGTGCCACGCTCCGGTTAACAAGTCAACGGGATGCAGGGAGGGAAGGGGAACACACACTTCTGAATTAACGAGTGGGCTCCCCCCAGGCAGCTAATGAGAAAATAGCTCCCAGCAACGCCGGGCAACGGGTGGCTGATCTGCACGGCCAAAGGCAAAGTGGGCTGAGAGCTCTGCATGGGGACAGGGCACAGGGATGGCACTTCCTGGGGAGAGCTGGGGACAACTGCCAGCAGATGGCAATGGCTCCATGCCCCCAACACTGCGCGGGCAGAGAGCACTCACTCGATCGCTGGTTTTTGATGAAGAAGAGCTTCAGGCGCTCCTTGAAGGTGTTCTCATTGACGTAGAACTCCACCTGCACCCTGCGGGGAAAGCGTCCGTGGGGACGGTGAGTGCAGGACGTTGGCAGGAGCCAGCAGTGCCCCATGGCCCAGCCCGGCCCACACCACAGCGATGCTGAGCAGCCAAGCTGCTAAAAACCAGATGGGATCTAAAAAGAGGAAAATTCCCCCACGTTGCTAAGATACCGCGTTGGCCATTCCGGAAGCAGCCAGGAGCTGCCAGCCCTGAGCCTCACCCCTGAGCCAAACACCACCATCCCGCTCAGCCCAGACCCAAGCAGGATGCGTCCCCATCATCTCACACACCCAAAGCTGGAATCAGCCCACAGTTCACAGGAGTGGGGCTACAAACCACACTGCTGCCTGCAGCCCAGCAGGGCTCGCTCACTGATTTATGCTCCCATAAGACATCTCATCTGCTCTGACCGCTAATAGCGGAGTCAAGTGAAAGGATTCGGCCCTTTCCCCTGTTCTGCTGTAGTTGGTAAGTCCTTTCAGTGCTGCTCTCTTACTGCTGACACAATCATCGAGACTTCCTCCTCAGCCAGGACCAGGTGCACAGTGACCCAATCGCACACCACATCCCCCCCACAGGCTTTTCCCCCCCAGCCACGTGGCACTGCCTGCACCCAGACACACTCCGAGCTGTGATTGATGGGGCAGCAGCTGCTGCTCTCGCACAGAGGAGCCATAAACAAAGCTCAGGGGGGGCTCAGGGGACCCCCCCCAGCCCCCACCCTGCAGTGCTGGTGCTTGGCAGCCGGTGTGGAACCCTTTGGGAGCTGCTTGTCAGGTTGCAAAGCTGGGTTTTCACTTTGCAAAGCCTCTGCTGTACCAAAGGAAAATGCACAGAGAGGAAACGACCGCCTCGGGCATGATAGCTGAGATAACATTTTATATGGGACATAAAGGTTTTAGTTAGCAAGTGCATCCCTCCTGCCACAGGGTGGCTGCAGGCAGAGCCAAGCCTGGGCTGGGAACCCAGGAACCCCTCCTCATCCCCCTGGTGCTGGGGACAGCAGCAGCATGAATCTGTCAGCATGGCACCATCTCAGGGCTATAGAAAAAACACTGATGGATAAAAGGGAATGCTGGTGACAGAGCTCTCCTCTGGGGCCAAGTAGACCATACATTCAGCAGTTAGAATGGCAACAGGGAGAAGAAACACGTGGAAATCAAGTGGAATAGGGCTTGGTGGGAAACAGCTGCTTGTCCCTGCAGAGGGACAGGGCAGGAGCAGGAGCAGCACTTCTGTGCAGAGCTTCAGCCACGTCCCACGGCATGGGAATGCTCATTTATCACCAGCAACCATCAGAACACACAACAGACCCTTCCCAGCTGAGATAGGCGTTCAGCCCATCTCCAGCACACCCTTGTCAAGCATTTAACTGAAACTGAAACTCAGCATGCCCACAGTGAGCCCTGGCTGCATTCCTGCTGCCCCGGAGCCCCACTGCCCCCAGCCCCAGGCAGGGCTCCCTTGGGCAGTTTGTGCCTTCAGCACCAGGTCTGTGCCCTGGGGGGCAGTGGCAGCCCAGCTGCCGTGATACGTATCGAGGTACGAATTTAGTTCCAAACTTTTTCTTGGAAACGTGATTCCTGCCATAATGCCTGAGGAATTCCATTTGCTTTACTCTGCTATTTATTGTGCTTTATTAACCTAAGATTAGAGGCAATTTGTTCTAAGATGACGAGCTCTGCCCCCAGAAAAGACATAATAATTTGTTCCAAAAAGTGCAGAGACCTACCCGAGCTCAGTCCCGCTCTGCAGCCCCAACACAGACAAAGTAGAGCACGGCAGCTGCCCCAACCCACTCTCCCACCCTAGCAGCCCATGCCCCCCACTGACCCTCAGCAGACTGGGACGTACCCTGAGCTCCTCGTCCCCATGGCGCAGACAGGCACAGCTCTGGCCCTGGGCTGGCAGCTGTCGGGAAGCTGAGATGGCCCCAAAGCAGCACCCGGGCACGGCCCCAGCACCACCTGCCCCAAGGCTGGCCGCTGCCCGCTGCTCCCAGAGGAGCTCACGTGTCAGGGATGCTTTTGTTCTATTTCAAACCGACTGAAATATTTTACCATGAGAAATGTATCTTCAAATAAACGTTGCTTTGGAAAGAGAGGAAAAACCATTGGCAGCTCCCTGCACCTCCAATCCCTGAGCTCCCGCTGCAGTTGGCCAGGAAACAGCATTCTCATCCTGGGAAATGTCTCATTACATCTCCCCCAGTGGGAAGCGGGATGCAAGTGAGACAGTCAGAGAGGTTTGGAACAAATGGAGACAGCTCTGCAGCCCACTGCCAGCACTGCCCCAGGATGGGTTCTGGGGATGGCCATGGTGCTGCCAGACGGGGCTGAGGACAGACGGACACCGCCGCATGATGCTGGGACAGGAAGGGGAGTGAGTGTGGGTCTGCGCACATGTTGTGGCACATCCATAGAACTGAGCACCTGCCAGAGTGAGAAGAACGGTGTGGGCTGCCCCTGTGTCCCATCAACAGCACATGGGGTGCCCATCCTTCAGCTGCAACCAGTCTGCACCACACCACTGCTCTCAATAATTAAAGTAAGGTGAAAAACCAGAACAAGGAGAAGCAATAGAACAACATGCTGCATTCAGTTTCCCTTCTTTGTTTTGCAACATTGGAGATTGACACTCAAGAATCGGCTCCAATAATTGCTTCTGCTGATGAATCTGGATTGTTTAATTAGAGCCTGCGCATGGAGCTCAGCACTGATGGGCAATCACCAATTTGCTGCAAGGACCTGGCTCCATCCCCATGGAGCTGAGCATGGCTCCCCATGCTGGGAACCACTCTAATTTGCAGGCACGACCCGCCAGCCCTGGTGCCAAGAGTAGCACCGTGCCCTGGTGCTGCCCTGGCACTGCTCTTGGCACCCAGGGCTGCTCGCGCTCCCGGCACCGCATGCACACATGCATGGCACTTACTGAGAGAAGGAGGAATCCATGCTGAAATCCTCGGCGTGGGGCCTATGGGTGAGAGCATCACAGGAGGTGAGGGCGGTGCGGCACAGCGCGGGCAGCTGTGGGGGGACCAGCAGGGCTGGCACTGAGCCCTAGGAATGCACACTGCCACGGTGATGTCCCCTCCTTGGGCACCCAGAGATGCCCCAAGGGCCCAGCTCCACACAAACACATTTTTTTATGCTGTCTGGGGGGGATTTTTCTCTATGCTTTTTTTGGGGTTTTCTTTGATGAGTCTCACAAACTGCTCCGCCTCGAATTCAATTTCACAGTTTCTGCAAAGAAATTACATTCTGCGAGGTGCTGCTTGGGTGCTTCTAGGAACCATGTGCACTTTGGAGAGCTCATTCTGCATTCACAGCTAATGACCATAAAAAGGCAAATGAAATAAACAGAAGGAAGGATGAGGGTATGTGGGGCATCAATATTATGGGGGATGGCACACAAATGAAGGCAGAAAGAAGTCCCTGGGGCAGCCCCAGGCCATCCCAGCACTGCCTGGCTTCATGCTGGAATCTTCTGGTGTTCCCTGGTCCCAGCACCAGCACGGGAACAGAGGAGTCTGAAATATGCAGTAAAGCACTCTGGTATACTTCAAATGATGTAACAGCAATAAATTCCCATTTCAATTGAAACGCGTGTCCAACAGAAAGCCAGCTCATCCCCCATCTACACAGAGATCAGAGCAGCCTCCCTGTGATACCATTCTGTTTGCTGCTCCTCTTTCATTACTTACGTGATACACACCCTGTGCTGAAAAGCCTGTGGGGACACCCAACGTCCCCATGGCACAAGGAGCAATGCCAGAGGGCAGCAATGGGCCCCGGGGCAGCAGGGGGTTGGTGCAGGTGGGATTTGTGCTTTGTTGCCATGCCAGCAGCAGGGAGCTTTCTTAGCATCATAGATGGTTGGGTTGGAGGGGACCTCAAAGATCATCCAATTCCAACCCACTGCTGCAGGCAGGGTTGCCAACCACCACATCAGGTACCAGACCACGTTCCCTAGGGCCCCGTCCAACTGTTTGGCACATGGTGATGCCCAATGCACTCACACCTCTCCAAAATCCCCCAAAATACAGCTGAGCAAAGCTGAGAGAGGTGCTGGGTCACAAACTGAATGACAACTTGCAAACTTTCTGATTTAATCTGCAAAACCTGCACTTTGGGGTGGGCAGTACCAGTCCAACAAGCTCTGTGCCAGCCAGCCCCAATCTCTGCAGAAAATGGGATTAACCCCAACAGCAGGCACTGCCTGAGGCTCCACCTCGGCTTTCCACAGCATCCATCCGTGCCTCACAGACACATTATGGGCAAGAAACAGCAGGTGATTTGGTTTTCTCCTTATGCACAGCAGCTGGCAGCCGGTGATGAGAGGACAGAGTGAGCAGAGTTCCTGCAGACACAGCCCCGCACACCAGCTGCTGTGGGGCACTGCACCACATGCTCCCTCACGCTCTGCTCACCCTGCAGCTGTGGTCTCAGCATGGGCTGTGGGGCTGCAGCCCCACAAAGGCCCCGCAATGAGGGCCCTGGGTGATGGGCAGCCCCCATTCTGCCTGGTGCCACGGGTGAAGCACTATAATTTGTGAAGAAAAATAAAATCCACTCCAATTCCTAACTGGGAAAGGATTGTTTTCCAGACATCAACAAGTTTTTAAGAGTTGGTGAGTTCCGTTCACTACAGAAGGGCACATGTCCTCCAGGGGGAAGGATAGGCAGACAGACTTACAGCCACAGCATCACTTCCACAGGCACAGAGTGGGGCAGGAGGAAGGGATGTGCCCTGTGGGTGAGGGCAGCAAGGGGCTGTGGCCACCCCAGGATGTGACAAAGGGAGCAGCCAGGCTGGTGGCATCCTGCAGTGCAGAGCAGCAAAGGCACAGAGCAAGGAGTGGCACAGCAAAGAAAAGAAACTTCACAGCTTCAGACAGCTCTGACATCTGCAAGATGCAGCCCCTGACAAAGGGTAGGACTTTCTTCTAAGGGGAAGACACAATGGCAGGTTTATTATTAGAACAAAAGGCAACTAATGAGGCTTGCTTATGTACAAGAGTACATACCTGCCCACCTACGCTACACTGCACAGCCCCCTCTGCAGCACCCAGCTTGGGCTGTGCACTCCAACCAACCCCAGCCAGGGCACCCTGCTTCCACTCTCTGCTGTTCTGTCATTTTCTGGGAAGTGTTTTGAACAATGAAGAGGATTAAAATTCACTTCTGGCTGTCCATTTCCCAGTCAGTTGAAGCAAAGGATCCCTGCCTCGAGGAGGGGGTCCTGGAGCCACCAGGGCACAAGTGCTCTCCCACCAGCACTGCACTTCAGGGTGCTCAGCCACTGCCTGCCAGGTTGGGTCACCTGGGGCTGAAGGAGCCCCCAGTCCCAGTGGGTCTGTGCTTGGGGAGGGCATGGGACACAGCAGAGGGGCAGAGCCAACCAGGAGGGGCAGCTGCTGGGGAAGGGTCCCCAGAGCGGCACACATCCACGAAGACAAAGAGGTACACCACGGTTCCTACCATATTGACAGTGAGAAACTCATCCACAAAAATAGCCTGATGTGAGAAGGACAGATGGGAGGAGACGAAAAAGGAAAGCAAAGAGGGGGGGAAAGAGCAACGAAGAGGAAGGGAGAAGCAAGCAGCATGGGCAGCGTCTGGCCACCAGCATGTGCAGGATGGGATGGGGCAGCCCCACGACTCACAGTGCACTCAGAACCTAGGGATGGGGACCCAAGGGAAGGGGTTCGGTTTGGAAACCGTGTGGTGCCCCAGATGCAGCCCATTGAGCCACGTGTGCTGCCTGCCCTTACCTTGCAGGAATGCTCAGCTCACATATCAGCCCCTTCCATGGGAGGGATGCTGAAGCCCCACACACCACCGGGCTCTGATGAGGATGAAAGACCAAAAATAAGCAGGGCTGAAACACAAGCGCACGTTTGGAGCGTGGGCTCCCGATGCTTGGCACCTACAGCTCAGCACCGATGTAGGACATGGCGTGGGAGGGGGCAGCTCCCTGCTGAGCGTGGGGGGGTCTGCAGGATGGGGAGCAAAGCACGAGACCAAAACCCAACCAAATCCTGCAGGAGGGAACTGGAGGACAGGGTGACATGGGGTGTCCCACCCCCACCCCCAGCACAGCCAAAAGTCCCCACTGCACCTCAATAGGTCCAATCTCTCCCTAACTCCTAAGCAAAGCCCTGGGGAGTGAGCTGGGCACCTTTTCAGGCTATCTTCATTACAGCTGGCAGCAGCACAGCCTGCAGCACCGCAGCTCTGCACTGCATGAAGGAAATGTGCAAAAACATTGCTCTTGGCTCATTGACCCCCATCCCAGTGAATTCAGTGTTCAGCTGCAGGTAGAATGTGCACCCAGGACTTGCTATGGAGACCAACACTTAGAAACCCAAACACAGCAACCCCAACAACAGCCCCAGTAACACCAGGGCTCAGAGCAGACTGGGTCTGAGCATCAGGCTGTAAGCACACATCCAACAGGATGAGCTTGTTAATGGCTGGTGGCCCCTTGGGGAAACAGCCATTGATTAGTCAGAAATTAAATTTTCAAACACATTTGGGTGGTTTTGGTGCTCTCTGAAGTGCTCTCCATTCAACAAGCACTGGGCCCACCAGCGTGCTGCTGTTTCTCACCCATTGCCATGCAGCTTTCAGCCTTCGGTGTGCCATGGATGGAGCAAAGCCCCACGTATTGGTGCCAGAACCACCTCCAGCTGCTAGACAAGGAGGAGTTGAAGGTGGCATCATGGAGTCTGAGGACAGGGAAGTGAGGGAACAAAGTGATTGCTGCCTTTAGCCTCTGAGTGCAAGGCAAGAGGGAGCCCACTCCTCCCCAGAGGAAAAGGACAGAGGGAGCAGTCACAAGATGCAGCAAGGGGAAGCCTGATACAAAGAAGAAATATTCACCCTGAGTGATGAAGCACTACAATAGGCATGTGGAGAGGCTGGGAAAGCTCCATCCTGGGAGATTCCCAAAGTTTAGCAGGACCAGTCCCAGTCAACCTGACCCAGTCTCACCCAACCTTAAAGTTCATTCTGTCTGAAAGAGGCTCCTCCAGGTGTCCCTAAACCAGCCCACAACTCCAATGTTCTCCATCAAACTGTCTCAGCACCATGAAATTTCATGTGGTAGCACTTCCAGACCTGCAGCCCTAATTCCTGCTCCTGCAATTCCCAAAGCAGTGGGAGAGCAGCTCACCCTGGGTCAGACCACAGCTCCATGGCACATGGTTGCTTCCCACTGCTCAGGGCTGGCTGTGCCCCTCCAGTTTGCAGGGAGCAATCCCGGGCTCTGGGGAGGACAGACAGTGCTGCCAGCTTTGCCCCATCTCCCCCAGCCTTTAGGTTTTTGGGCAGGTCTTCAAACACAGATCCATTACGGGGATGTTTGCCATCCCTTAAGAATATCAGTTTGCCTCCGGACGCAGAGTGGCCAGAAGTTCCCCTGCTTCCTAGCAAAGCTGCATAAACAGGACACAATTATCTTGTAAAAATGTTGTTTTTTAAAATAAGAACACAACAGAATGTCCGCACGTCCGGTGCTGCAGAGAGATCAACAGCCCCCAAAGTGAGATCCGAGCATAGATATTTTCATGACCACACTGCCAGCAGCTTCCTCCCAAACACAGCCCTCAGCCTGCATCACTGCAGTGCTCCAGGAGAGCTCAGCTCAAAAATCGACTTTTCTGTGATTTGTTTCACCTCAACACCTTCTCCTCCCAGAGTCTTCCCCCAGCACCATCTCTCCCTCTTGTGGGAGTGAGTTCCCCATATCATGCTCCCTTCAGAGTGGGATGCACGACAGCTGCAAGCACCACGCAGCCTCCTGCTGTGCAGAGCTGCAGGGCTGCTTGGCCACTTCCAAACCACAGCAGAGCTGTTCTCCTGCTGAAACCAAGAGTCACTAAAAGCCCTGAGATGCTGCAGTGACTAAGAGACAGAGCAAAAGGCAAATAAAGTAGGTGAGAATAAACTTCACTGGCTTCAGCCGCCTGGAGAACTGATTTGCATCACTGGGAACATCCTGTAACACAGCATCTGCTCCCACCACCACCTCGCATCTCACCCCAAAGTCCCAGTAACAACCATCACTGCTAACGTGGTAATACTGCTTGTCTGGCTTGGTAGGAGACAGAGCATCTCTGACACACTATCCATAATTTCAAAGCAATCTTCCCTCCTTTGTCTCGTGCATAGGCAATGAAGTACAAGCACACCAACCGTTGTTATCAGCAACTCCATCACCGAGGGGAGCACAGCACTCGCAGGATTCAGGCTCTGCAGGCGGCTCGTGGGGCTCTGCGAGCAGTGCAGAGTGCTGCCAGGAACTTCACCTCCCATCAGCAGTGTCCAAGCCACCAGCTCCTTACAGCAAGATTGCAGCAAAACCCATGAAATTCCAATGAAACCCTGGGAACTGGGTTCAATTGTGTATTATCTGCAGCCCGGAGGCACCCGCTGTGCTTCGTGCTCTCAGCCTTCTGGCCCAGGTCCACTAACAACTGCAGCTCTGTGGCTTTTGGACATTGTTCCCCTCAGCCCTGGATCCATCCCTGCCTTCCAGCACCGCTCCTTGTGCCACACAATCCCTACCAAGAGAGACAGAGCTCCTGCTCCTGGGCTGAGCCCACCAAGCCCCTCTTGCATGCTTCACTCCAGCAGGTCGGGATGGGTTTGGAGGAGCCCCCTGGCCACAAGTATGAGCCTCTCCTCAGACCCAGCACCTCTGGGCGTGCTGAGGGAACACCAGCAGTGCCTGGGAGGTGGAGGGAAGAAAGTGATCTCTCCCCAGGACTCTGCTAACAGCACAGCTCAGTCCCCAGAATGGGTCAATCCTTCTGAAAACAAGTCATAAAACCAGAGCAAACCAATCTGCCCAGGGAGTAGAGAAGATGCAGATTGCTCGGCAAAGCACGATGACACCTCACAAGGCTCAGGGATGAAGTTGCAGTGTACCTGCCCAAAGCCCATTTGCAGCTTCCCATACATACGCAGCCTTCCACACCCGTAAGCCCCAGCTCATGAAATCAGAAGGCAATGATTCACAAGATCCAAAAGTCTGCCTGCTGGAAGACCAACCATGGTGCCATCACCCATCACATGGAGACCTGAGCTCTGCAGGCACACTGGGACTCTGCCTCCTGGACCTGGAGACAAAAGCACAAGCCCTCCGCACACCTCCTTGCCTCCCCAATGGGCACCACACCGCTCAGCTGTGCCTGCTGCCTGCACCCCCCTGGCCCACCCAGGAGCTGCATGAAGGTCCCAATGCTGAGATGTGGTGAATTCCTGCCAGCCTGGAGCCAGACAAGTAAAATTCACCATGAGAAGAAGCTTTCCTACTGTGCTAATTCGCACTGGAAACCAGAGCTAGAAACAGCACCAAATCGCATCCTAGGAGATACACAGCACACAGTCACAGGTGAGGCAGATTTTGCTGAGAGGGAAGAGAACATGGATGGGCTGAAATGCTGAAGAGATGACAGAAAGAAAATAAAACCAGAACTGAACTCCTGACACATGCCTCCTCTTTTTAATGAAGGAGGTCTAGCTTCTTCAGAAGCATGGTGCAGTGTGAAACCGTTTCCATCCTCCTAAAAAACAGCACATTTTTCTGCTGTGCATATCAGCTGTGTGCTTGCAGAAAGAGGATGCAGCATTTCCTAGGGCAGCCTTTTTTTTTCTTTTTTTTCTTTTTGCTGCTGTAAATAAATCATTCCTCAGAAGGGGGATCAAGCATCATTGCAAACATGGTTCTTATGTGCAGTGCTTACTGTGGTGCTAGTGGTGTAAATAAGCTTTGGTGTCGTACTGCACAGAGAAGGTGCAGCACAAGTTAGCAGCATCATGTAGCAGCCCTACAGTCTCAGGGCTGCCATTCAGAGATGCTTCTGGCAAACCAAAAAAATAAAAATAAAAATAAAAATAAAAATAATAAAAAACAACAAGGAATACTTATAAAAAATTCAAAGGACATGATTTTCTTCTGCTCCAGCTATCTGTTTCATAATGGAACTTTGGAGCTGGTGTGGCTTTTCCACACACAGCTGTCAGAAGGATTTCACCCACCACCCCTCCACCCCTGGTGGCACGAATCCTTTCCCTCTTATTTAAAAGACAAAGCATGCCCCCCTGCTTCCCAAGCCCACGCACCACTGCAGCCCCGCAGTACCTCTGTCCGACATCGCTCCCCAAGGAGCCCATCCTCCGCGCTGGCAGCAAGGGGCTCACCCCACGGACATCTTCTGTCGTTGCTGGTGGGACAGTCTTCACATGTGAGTTGCTCTCTGAAGGGGAATTCTTCAGCTTGGCTCTCGCCATCCTGCGAGCCTGGGCTGCCTCTGTGACTTCCTCCTCTTTCTCCCCCGAACTCTCCCGTACATAGCAATCCTCACTGCATTCAGTTTAGAGCTGTCGGCACGTACCATCTCCTTTCTTCTCCTTTCTCCCCACTCACGGCTGCTCAGTGGAACAATCCTGCCCTGCACATTTATTTTGGTAGTGAGGGGAGTCAAGGCAAACTCTCTGGCCTTGCTGCTGCAACGGATTTGGTGCAAAATGACTAAGAAAACCTTCGCTGTGCAGAAATCTCCAAAACGGCTTTGTTCAATAAATAATGTAATTGTCTTGGCTGCCTCCTTTAAAAAACAAACGCTTGCATTATGCTTATCACCACAGGCAGGGCAGGGGATGAGGGATTATTTTTTCCCCATCCCTGTTTTTCTGTAGTGACACGAGGGGGAGGAAGCTATTTCATCTTATCGCTCTGTGTAAAGAGCAGCGTGCGGACTGAATGCCAGGGAAAAGACTCAGCACGCTTGGCTCATGGACACAAAGCAGCAGAACAAGGCCTCCTCCTGAATGCACATGCTGCAAACTGAGCAGAGGGGAACTCATCACTGCCTCACTCTGAGCTGCCACCACCACCTGGTGCTCTATCCCTGCCCACCTGGCTGTGCCAAAACAGCCTGTCCTCACACCACCCAGCCTTGTTACTTCAGGTGGCCACAAAACTGCTATTCCTTCAACACTCTTGGCATCGATTTGTCAAGGTGTCAAACAGACAGGGAATTCACTCATGGCCAAGGAAGCCCCAAGCAGGAGATAACGAGTCCCTCAGTGTGCAGGTAGGACCGAAAGATGGGGGCATGCACCCCATCGTCTTTCTGGGGTTGCTGTCAGCCCGTGGCTGCTCTGCTCGCGACCGATGGCAGCACCCAACAAGGATCATTGCTGCGGGATGCGGTGGTGCCAGAGCACGTGGAGACCCGAGGGTCTCTGGAACGGCGGCTCAGCACCACGGACAGAGGCAGCCGGCGTTGCCCCACGGAGCCCCCCCAAACCACCCCAACAACACCCCAAAACCACCCCGCCAACTGCATCTCAAAGCCACCCCACAGCACCCCAACACCGCCTGATGGAGCACCTCAAAACCACCCTACAGAATGCCCTCAAACCACCCCACTGCTGATCTAGGAAAAGAAAATGAGTCTCTGTTCCCTGTTAACTAAATCCATGTTTCCCTACTCAGAGTGTAATTTCTTAATGGGATTTCACCATAAGACATACTTTACTGCAGCCCATGAAATGTTAGATGGATAAAAACCCGCAGCCCATTTACCAGTGTGCCAGCTTTTTGAGCACATTTAATTTCTTCTTTTGCCTCAAAATGATTCATCAGATCAATACATTTGTTTCCTAACAGAGCCATTCCTCTCTGCTCCATGGTTTGCTTCAACCTCGTCTCCAGTTATTGCTCTGGATCTGCACACCCCGGGGCATCGTTCCCATGCCCAGCTGTAATCGCTGCCACCAGCCCCATGGACCAGCTCCATGCCTAGGAGCCTTGATGGACAAGAATCACCGTGGCTGGGGCAGTCAGCTCTCTCCTGTGGGAAACGATTCAGAAATTCTAACTCGTTGTATTGCTAATTCCAGAAGAATATTAACTTCGGGGGAGATGTTTGATGCATAAAGTGGCTTACGCATAAATCATGGTCTCAGCAGTAATGCCATCAAGCAGCAGCACGGAGCAGAAGAGGTATTAGGGAAACGCTTAGGGAGTTTTACTAGAAAAGGGAAACTCTCCCGCTGTACTTTTGTTGTACAGCACATGACACAAAAAAAAAAAAAAAAAAAAAAAAAAAAAAAA